ATAACAACACCAACGAGGATGAAATATTAACAAGATTACACATTTATATAAGGTAAACGATCCAATCCGACCGACCGAACCGTGTATCAAATCGGCGGGTATGCAATCACTCTCTCCTTCACATCACAACTACATTTCTCTCTTCTGCATCGAGACCATCCATGTGAGCACCACGTCGACCCTGACATGTGGGAATGGGGAATATTCAAACTGTTGGGGAGAGCGTTTTCTTCTCAATTTTAAACTAACAAATTCAGGCTATTTTCCGAGCATTGTCCATGCAGTCTGACCATTCATCTCAGAGGGGAATGAGCCTACCTACCAATCTTTCATCTGCCCTCACATGTGGGAGCACCTTTGCAGAACGGTCACAAAAATTGAAAAAGGTAAACCATAGCACGGGTTAAACGGAAAAATTTAGGTTAAAATGGTAATCCATATATAAAAATGATAAATGATGGGGGTGAAAATGAATTAACTATTAAAGAAAGTTAAACATACTCATATAGGTATTAGGTAGTCAAAGTGTACTAACTGTGCCTTGTCAAAAGAAACGAAGGAAATGTTGAAACGGAGACTCGCTACTACATTCAATATGCTGAGCTGATAGTATAAGTTTGAATGGAGACTAGCTAGTATATTCAAAATTGCTGCAGAGAGCAAATTCCGAGGCTTGTCATTTTTAAATTAACAAATCATTGTTTTTTCTTAACCATTGACTAGGCGGTCTCACAATACATTCATATGAGGCTAACTACCACTGTTTCATCGATCATGACCTCCCTCAGAAATGTATCCGTGTCATTATACACATCAAATTTGAACTGGTCAGAACGGAAAACTGAAACTGAATGCGGAAGCCACGAGCACTCTGTGACAATGCCTTTTTCAGTCTTTTTTTCAGCCGTCCCATCATCGCCTAATCACCTATTGCAGATTTTCTCATTAAATGACTTTTTTATTGACTTATAATGTAGTCATCAAGAAAGGATACAAACACAAGGAGTGCACATCAATCCTCCGCACTACTGGGAATTACACACATGGCTTGGATAAACCGCTAG